TATCTCTGCTAAAACACATGCAAAGGACAGCATCATCCATCATCATAAAGTTGTCCTGGGCCTGGTACTTAAGATCCTTTCTGATTTTTCCAGTTGTGAAGTTCCACACTTCAATGAATCCATCAACAGATCCAGTGACCAAATACTGACCATCTGGAGAAAATCGAGCACACTCCACATGTGATTTCTGACCAAACTTAATATGTCTACTTAACTGTGTAGGGAACTTTTCTTCTTCTACATCTTTGACAGCTGCTTTACCTCAGAACAAATCTATTGTCATACCAGGAGGGAGAAATCCCTGGTGCTGCTGCCATTTCAGTGCCTGTCCCAGCAATGCCATGAGACGTGAAGGTGGGACCACACTCACTTCACCAGCTAAGGCCTGAGCAATTGCTGCTCTTCTCTTCTCTTTGCTACTGCCATCTGGATATGCCTCACGAGGATCAAAGTAAGACCTGGCCAAGAGGTTCTCCAGGCGAATGTATCTCTCTGGCTGTGTTTGTTTTAACATGATCATTGGATCAATCTGTCTCAGAAGTGATCTGGCAGCACCCACTTCACGGAGCTCAATCAACTCGAGAACAACCTGTTCATAGAGGTTAATCAAGGTTTTGTCTGGCAGTTTCAGAGACTGTATAGCCTGTAAAACAGTATCCCAATGGCCACTGTTTATGTCTGCTACAAAACTCTCAATACTATCCACAGTATTCAAAGATACTGTTGTTTCCTCCTGCAGGGTGGCTAGTGCCCGGTGTAAACTGTTCTCCTTCAGGTACTGCATGATGAGACGGATAACATCTGAGGACTCGATTTCGATCGACATTGCAACGTCTTCTCGCGATCAGACCCCGTTTCACCATTAAGTCTCAGTTCACGCTGGGGGCCGTGGCACAACCCACCACAGCCACTTTCGTCGTCCGCCATAGCACATGATTGTTAATTCAAAGACTGGGGATGGAATCCACCCAGCACCGCATGGGACAAAGGCCTAGTGATGTGTTCTAGTAAAGATTGCTGCTGTTGTTGTTAGGAGCCATGAACTTGACTCTGATTCATATGCCCCTTGAGAAGGACACTCTGCCTGGTCATATACTGTCCTCACAAGCTCTGCTGTACCTACTGTTACTGTGGCTGTGCCAAACCATGTGATTGAGGGGCCTCCTCTCCTTCACTGACTCTCTGTTTTTCCAAGTAGGATATCCTTTTCAAAGGACCAGCCCCTCCTGATAACATCCCCAAAATATGTAAGAAAAGACCTAGACAAACTCTACCTGTTTCCCGGGATGCCAGTCAATTCAACAGCACCTCACAACAGCATAACCTTGTCACAAATACAAGATCCTGGTGATCACCACTTCCTTTCCCGGGGCTCGTGTACCATTCCTATCTCTACAATGGCTCAGAATGCCAGCATATATCACACTCCCATTTCTTTACTCATCCTTCGGTTCTGTACTGAGTGGCCTGTCTTCCACCTCTCTTCTCCCATGGCTCTCATGAAAAGCTACTTTTTCTATGACTTTCCCACCCACCAAGTAGAATCGGTCACTTGACAAAAGCAAGCCTTGTGTGTATGAAGGGGGGCCGATAGTCTGTGAAGCACCTGGTGATTGTTGGGAAGACAGACTTGTAAAACTTAAATGCACTAGATCATATCTAGGCCTTAAGAGACCCTTGCCTCATAACTAGAATTGTGCCTGGGCAGACCCTTTAGAATCATTTAAAAGAAGATATAGTGTGTGTTGAGATGGTGATTGTTCTGTCTGCCAGAGGAATGTTGTTGGTCCTAAGAAAGTATAGGTAATATTGGAAATGCATGCTTCAGATCCAGTGATTCACCAAGTTAAGTATTTGGTGGTAGACTTCCATCCCATTACAGAGGAGCATTGCTGTGATTTTCCACTAGGGAACAGTAGTTGGTGGAGATTTTTCAGAAGATTAGAGGTCAGAGTGAAGTGCTGCCAAATTATTAAACCCAATTCTTGTGTCCTCAGGAGGCCTTGAGGAATAAGGAAAGCTCTGGAGACTGATGCTTTTGCCTCAAAGCAACTGGTCCCAAGAAATAAAGGAACCATTTCACAGGTGTCATACTGAATCCTAATAAATCAAAGGTGTCTAAAGTGGTGCCTATAAATTTCAACCAGTGAGTGTACCAGCAAGATCAAGGGGCCTGGGAAAATAATGATGCCAGGTTCAAAGTGTGCAAGTGAGGTCAAATGTGCCATAAAACCTTGGGAGTCTCGCCAAAGGAAACTTCCACCTGGAGTACATTCTACACTGGAACACTAGACTGAAGAATTCAAAGAATAATGTTGGTTTTCTAATAGTAACATCATGCTTCTAGGATATGGTCTTTCTACCTTCTTAGATCCTTCCCCTAAGATAGAAGCCACCTAAAAATTTATGAAATTTAGAACCTTATGTAAAGAACTGAAATGATCCAAAACAGTAAATTGCCACCAGTGAAACGGCAAACTGGGCTCAGGTATTGGGAATGGCCTGATGTATTCATCTTAAGGTCGCTTCTGTGCATAGCATGCACCGTGTCTGTAAGTAAGGTAGTTGCTCACATCTCCTGATGATCTAGGTAGGTTTTTTTTTCCTTTGAACTGTCTGTCACCTACTGATTTCATAGATCTTGCCAGATACCATACAAGATAACAGCTGATGAGTTCTCAAACTAGCTATAATCACAGAAGAAATACTAATCAGTTCAGGATCAGTTCAGAAGAGCAGGCCGAAAACTTTTTAGTAGTGACAGTGCAACAGTTCCTAGAGGATACCCCAAATTGTGGAGAAGCACAGCCGTTAGTTTAGCTGCACCTTACAACAGACTCCACTACCAGAGGACTGTTGGTTGAGAGACATAAGGAAAAGAGAAGATCTTAGGCCTGATAAAGGGATAAAGCTCTGATGACGTAATGGGAAGGAGTTGGGCTGCCAAACCAAAGGCAGGTGGTTTGAATCCACCAGTTGACTCGATGGAAGAAAGATGGGATATTTCCTCCTGTATGTTTATAGCTTCTGAAAACCCACGAGGGTCAACTCTGAGTCCAGCTCAGTGGCCCACGACAACAACAAGAAACTATGGGCAATACTGGAAACACAACATGTATGTGTATGTGTGTGTAATTCTCCATTACATAAGAAATAGCAGAAAAATATGCAGAACACAATTTTGAACTCTAACCTGGCTAAAGGATTCAACAGTTAGGGAGCATTTGGAGGCTAGAACTGTAATTATCGCTTTGATGGTAATTGACTACAATAAATCGATGCTGTAGCTAGGCAAAATTTGCTTTTTCAGAACTTGCTTCCAGCTCTCAAAATTGAATACTGTCGAAGTAGAACCAACTCATAGCTGACCTTCCATTGGGTGTCCAAGGCTGGAAATCCTTCTGGAGGAGCTTGTCCATTTTTCTCCTGGGGCTGCTGATGGATTCAAACCTCCAGAGAGGTTCATGCTTTGGGTTAGCTGTGCAATTCCCCATGGACTAGGCCCACAGAGCTCCTCCTGTTTCAAACACTGGCATGAAAACTGGTAGATCAACACCACCTAAACACTAATAGCATTCCAAACTTTAATGGAATCAAACAAGACCACTCTGTGCCTCATTTTTTCCTTTTAAAATATGTGTAAGGATTGTTACAGTCCTTTGAAAGAAGAAAGGCTGAGCAAATTCATTTCTCTCTCTTCTGAACAAACATTAGCAGCAAGGTGTATTTAAGTATCTCAAAGGATTAAGACATTGATCAAGAAGTCCTATATTCAATTAGTAAATACTATCAGAAATAACTTAAAAATTGGTGATAGTTATGGCTGAACAATATGAGAAACATAGCTAATATTTCTAAATTGTACTTTCAAAGAAAGTTGAAGTGGCCAACAGTTTGTTACATACTCAGAAAGATGGGATAAATAATATATACTGCATTGAAACAGATGAGGGAGAGAACTGTTTAAAAGGGATCTATGATTAGGTATTATTGTCATGACAGGAGTCCAGAATGAGGGCTTCATAGTGGAGTGGACTTGGGGGAAGGGATTGAATAACAATGAAAGCGTTTTTTTTCTCTCACTTTTCAAAAAGAAAAGCAAATTGGGGGGAGGGGTGGGCAGGGAAAAAAGTGCAACAATGAAAGAATGGAAATACAAAGTCTCTGTAAACTTTCATTAAAATCTATTTAAAATTAGCTGAGTGAAATATCTCCATCACAAAGGGACAAATACTGCATGGTGCCACTGTTGTAGAATGGGTCTGACATCAGGGTGGGGGTATGACAGAAAAAAACTGGATAGATTATGTATATTGTATTGAAACAGATGAGGGAAAGAACAGATTAGAAGTGATATATGGTTGAGTATTATGGTTAGCACAGGAATCCAGAATTAAGGTTGCACAGAGAAGTGTACTCGGGGTGGGGGGTAAGGGACGTGGGAATTGTATATTAATGAAGGAATTTTTTTTGTTTCTCTTCAAAGGGGGAAGCGAGCTGGTGGGGAGGGATGGGCAGGGAGAAAAGTGCGGCAATGAATGAATGGAAATCCAAAACCTCTATAAATGTCTATTAAAATTAATAATAATAATAATAAACAAAACAAAAAAACATGTTCAGATAAAAACAATAAAAAGAGTTCAAGAAATATTTGGAGAAATGGAAAAGTAAAGTTAAAAATATAACTATTTTTTTTAAAAATCTATTTAAAATTTAAAAAAAAAAGCTAAAAAATAAATAAATAAAAAGATGTAATTGTGTTTTCCAAAAATATTCTTAGTTACTATTTCTTTCCTCTAATTTCATAGATATACCCTTGCTGGTCCGGACACCATTGAATGCCTGGCCAATGGCAAGTGGAATGGAAGTAACCAGCAGTGCCTGGCTGTCTCCTGTGATGAGCCCCCCAACGTGGAGCACGCCTCTCCAGAGACAGCCCACAGGCTCTATGGAGACATTGCATTCTACTACTGCTTGGATGGCTACAGCCTGGCAGACAACGCCCAGCTCCTCTGCAATGCCCAGGGCAAGTGGATTCCCCCCGACGGTCAGGCCGTGCCCAGATGTATAGCTCATTTCTGTGAAAACCCCCCATCAGTTTCCTATAGCATCTTGGAATCTGTGAGCAAAGCAAAATTTGCCATTGGCTCTGTCGTGAGCTTCAAATGCATGGAAGGTTTTGTGCTGAACACCTCAGCAAAGATTGAATGTATGAGAGGTGGGCAGTGGGAGCCCTCCCCCATGTCCATCCAGTGTATCCCTGTGCGCTGTGGGGAGCCGCCCAGCATCATGAACGGCTACGCGAGTGGGGCGAACTACAGCTTTGGGGCCGTGGTGGCTTACAGCTGCAACAAAGGCTTCTACATCAAAGGGGAGAAGAAGAGCACCTGCGAAGCCACGGGGCACTGGAGTAGCCCCATGCCCACGTGCCATCCTGTATCTTGCAATGAGCCACCTAGGGTTGACAATGGCTTTCTAGAGGTAAGAGCCAGTTAGCTCAAGTACCATAACTTCCACCAGGCATTCAAATGTATCCCATTGTGTGTTATCCAAGATTCATGAGCCAAGACAGTGAACAGATTAATGGTAAAAAAAAAAAAAAAGTAGACATAAGTAACTAAAATCTGTAATTAGTGAATTACTCAATAAAAGCAAAGAAACCAAAAACAAAACAGAACACCTCATTGCCCTCAAGTCCCGATTTATATCAACCTTCTAGGATAGAGCAGTACTAAACCCACCACACAGCATCCAGGGCTATAACGTCCCTAAACTGCCACATTTTTCTCCTGCGAAGCAGCTGGTGGAGTCAGGCTACCCCTAGTGGTTAGCAGCTGGATGTTTAACCACCGCACCATCCTTAGTGCCTAAAAAAACCTCATGGCTCTGGAGTCCCTTCTGATAAATAACAGCCCTCCGGGGCTTTCTGTCAATGTCAACAGAAGAAGACCACCTACCTTTCTCCATGGAGTAGGTAGTATATTTTAACCAATGGAGACACAACCTTTTGGTTCCCAGCAATACCTAATTTTGATACCTTACAGAATACGCCACCAGCACGTGCTAGGGGGTGGATTATGCTGATGTTGTTGCTGTTGTTGTTGTTGTTGTTGTGTGCCATAGAGTCATAACTAACCCATAGCTTTCCCTCCAACAGGTTTTCAGAGGCAGTAATCTCATTAGAGAAGATTGCCCAACCTTCTCCTGCGGAGTAGCTGGTGCCCTCGAACCACGTCCCCTTGGTATTGCAGTGCAGCATTTTATCACTAAGCCATCAGAGCTCCCTAGCAGATAGTAAAGCAAAATCAGTGAAGATTGTTACAAGTACTTTTAACATCATTTCTATAGGCTACTAGCATATAGACATTCTAAGCACTTTGCAGCAGTATCTTAGCCCTTAAAAACTATGCAGTTAGATTCACAGTGACCCTATGAACAAACAGTCTGCACCCTGCCTGATCCTGTGCCGTCGTGACCGTCTCTGACACACTCACCATTACAGTCACTGTGTCAATCCATCTCACAGAGCATCTTCTCCTCCTTTGCTCACCTCCCACCTTCCCATGCAGCTGCCCTTTTGTAATGAGGTTTTCTTTACTCATTTAACACATATTACTGGAGGTCCTACTATCAGCCAGGTACAGCTATTAGCCTATTAGATCTGTGGATGGAATACTCATATTTCATACATGTATAATATATAAAATAGTAAATAGTTAAATAGGAGCTCTGGTGCCTAGTGTCAAGAAGCTGTGCTGAAATCCCAAAGGCACATGGTTCAAAGCCACCAAGTGCTCTGTGGGAGGATGGGCAATCTCCTCCTGTGAGATTAACCCCCTCTGAAAACCCACTGGGGGTCAGCTATGGGCCAGGCCAACTCTACGATACACAACAACAACAGTAGTCAGATAAGTAGTTAATTCCAAAAAATGATAAGCTCATTACAGCATAGAAAGAAAAATTTACTAGAGTTTACCACAGTCAATCACACAATCTTAGACAATCTTATATATAAGGGTCTTATAACTAAGTCATCTGTTGCACTGTCTAAAAAGAGCTCATAGTGTATGCTTATTTCTTTTAACATAGAAGTAGTGGACATTGTCTCATTTTAAAAGATAAAATAATGCTTTTCCTTTTCCATCCGTACATCCTAGTAGCACTTTAATAACATAGAGGTGAGGGATGAGACTCTGATAGTACTCTGAACCATATAAGAGAAAAATCTCTTATTTGCTCTTTTTATTATCTGACAACATTAAAGAATTAGCTGTGTGTGTCTCCATTTCATGATTAAGACACACATTAGCATTTAGCAAGCAAGATTTTCCTTGTTGGCTGCGGTTTTGTACCTGGTATAGGGAACCATGAGGACCTGGTGCTGCTAGCCCACAGGGGGCACCTCTCTGGCAGTCCGGTTCCACCAGCAGTTCTGCGGGAGGAAGATGGGCATTCTCTTCCTGTGCGACGCACGGCCTCTGAAAGCCCACTTAAAAGGCCCGGCGATGAGTCGATTCTGACTCAGAAATGAATCGTGTGTTAAGTTGAATAACTTGTAGTTCTCAGCATCGCTGCATCAGCTTTTCAAACTATTTAGAGACTTTGACCGTGTCTTCCTTGTGGGATTAGCCCTGTAATGAACGGTTGGTTCTGCAGTCAGGATTACGTGATGAGGATTTAAACAGACAAATGTAAGGCAAGCCTATTTAGATAAACTTTAAATTCTTATTTAAGTCCTGCTTGACTCATTTTTAATGTAAGCACTTTTCCTTCTTAGCCAATGCATTTAGTTAACTATATTTTCTGGTATAAAATTGCTCTAACTTGTGTCCTCCCTTTTGTGCAGCACACAACTGGCCGGGTCTTCGAGAGTGAAGTGAGATACCGGTGTAACCCAGGATATAAGCCAGTTGGCAATCCTGTGTTCATCTGCCAAGCCAACCGCCACTGGCACAATGAATGGCCTCTGTCTTGCGTCCCTCTCAGCTGTGGGAAACCTCCCCCAATCGAGAATGGATATGTGGAAGGAGAAAACTTTGAAGTGGGCTCCAAGGTCCGGTTTTTCTGTAATAGTGGTTATGAACTTATTGGTGATGACTCTTGGACATGCCAGAAGTCTGGCAAGTGGAATAAGAAGCCAAACCAAAAATGTGTGCCTGCCAAATGCCCAGAGCCACCACTCCTGGAAAACCAGCTCGTGTTGAAGGAGTTGACCTCAGAGGTAGGAGTAGTGACACTTTCTTGTAAGGAGGGCCTTGCCCTGCAAGGGCCCTCTGTCCTGAAATGCCTGCCGTCTCAGCAGTGGAATGATTCCTTTCCTGTTTGTAAAATGGTTCTTTGCCTTCCACCTCCACTGATCGCCTTTGGTATGGCTGCCTCTTCTTCCGCTCTTCATTTTGGAAGTATTGTCACGTATTCTTGTGTGGATGGATTCTTCCTCAGAGGAGACCCCACGATCATCTGCCAAGCCGATGGCACCTGGAGCTCTCCGCTGCCAGAATGCGTTCCCGTAGAATGTCCGCAGCCTGAGGAAATCCTCAATGGTATCATCGATGTGCAAGGTCTTGCCTATCTCAGCACAGCTCTCTATACCTGTAAACCAGGCTTTGTGTTGGTGGGAAACACTACTATCCTTTGTGGAGAAAATGGACAGTGGCTTGGTGGAAAACCAACATGTAAACCCATTGAGTGTCCACAGCCCAAGGACATTTTGAACGGAAAGTTTGCTTATACAAATCTCTACTATGGGCAAACCATTACTTACTCTTGTAACCGAGGCTTCAGACTCGAAGGTCCCCAAGCCTTGACTTGTTTAGAGACAGGAGACTGGGATGTGGATGCCCCATCTTGCAGTGCCATACATTGTAACGTCCCACAGCCTATTGAAAATGGTTTTGTAGAAGGTGCAGATTACAGCTTTGGTGCCATGATCATCTATAGCTGCTTCCCCGGCTTCCAGATAGCTGGTCACGCCATGCAGACCTGTGAAGAGTCAGGGTGGTCAAGCTCCATCCCAGCATGTGTACCGATAGACTGTGGGCTCCCTCCTCACATAGATTTTGGAGACTCTGTTAAGATCAAAGATGGTCAGGGCTATTTTGACCAAGAAGATGTAATGGAAGTTCCCTATCTGACGCCTCCCCCTCCTCACCATTCGAGAACAGTGGCTAAAGCTTTGGAAAATGCTGGGGAGTCTCCTGCTACCCATTTTTCAAGCTTTCTGTATGGCACTGTGATTTCATACACCTGTATCCCGGGATATGAGCTCTTGGGGAACCCTATACTGATCTGCCAGGAAGATGGAACTTGGAATGGCAGTGCACCTTCCTGCATTTCAGTGGAGTGTAACTTGCCTCCTGTGCCTGAAAATAGCATTCTGCATTTTGCAGAGACTACCATGGGCAGCGCAGTTCATTACAGCTGCAAACCCGGGCACATTCTAGTAGGTCCCAACATAAGACTCTGTCTACAGAGTAAGGAATGGAGTGACGCTCTCCCACACTGTGAAGCCATTTCCTGCCAAAAGCCCAATCCACTCATTAATGGATCTATCAAAGGAAGCAACTATACATACTTGAGCATGTTGTACTACGAATGTGACCCTGGGTATCTGTTAAGTGGTGCAGAGAGGAGAATGTGCCAAGAAGATCAAACTTGGGAGGGCAGTGAGCCAACATGCATTCCTGTGGACTGTGGTCCACCCCCAGTGTTAGTCAATGGCCACGTCATAGGTGATGTGTACACATTCCAGAAGGAGGTTGAGTACACTTGCAGTGAAGGGTTCTTGCTTGAAGGAGCTAGAAGTCGTGTTTGTCTTGCTGATGGAAGTTGGAGTGAAACCACTCCCGTTTGTGTGCCTGTTAAATGTGCCGCTCCAGGACCGGTGGCAAATGGGGTGATGAATGGCCTGGACTATAGCTTTGGGAAGGAGGTTATATTTCACTGTCAGGAGGGATATGTATTACATGGTGCTCCAAAACTCACCTGTCAAGCAAATGGCAGTTGGGATGAAGAAGTTCCTCTCTGTAAACCAGTCAACTGTGGACCTGCTGAAGCTCTTGCCAGTGGCTTCTCTAATGGCTTTTCCTTTTATCATGGGGGACATATACAGTATCAGTGCTTTCCTGGTTATAAGCTCTTGGGGAGTCCTTCAAGAAGGTGTCTCTCCAATGGTTCCTGGAGTGGAAACATACCTTCCTGCCTGCCTTGCAGGTGTTCTACACCGATAATTCCAAATGGAGTTGTCAATGGAACAGATTTTAGCTGTGGAAAGGCAGCTCAGATTCAGTGTTCCAAAGGCTTCAAGCTCGTGGGACTTTCAGAAATCACCTGTCTAGCCAATGACCAATGGAGCAGTGGCTTCCCACATTGTGAACACGTTTCCTGTGGCACTCTCCCAACAATATCAAATGCATTCATCAGTGAAAGTGGCTCATTGGAAGAGAATGTTGTAACTTACAGCTGCAGACCTGGGTATGTCATGCAAGGCAGTGCAGATCTGATCTGTACAGAGAAAGGCACATGGAGCCAGCCTTTCCCAGTCTGTGAGCGTCTGTCATGTGGACCCCCGCCCGCTTCTGCCAATGCAGTGGCAACTGGAGAGACCCACACCTATGAAAGCCAAGTGAAACTCAGGTAAGATGCTGCTCTAGAGCATTCAAGAGCTGCACGTAGTAGGAGTCTAAAAGGAGAGGTGAGGGGGCACAAATGTACTTGATTAAAAAGAAAACACCATCCCTGGCCTGCCCTCAGGACACCTCAGTAGGCTTTATACTGTCCATAATTAAATAGAAATCCATTAAGTGTAAAAATGAATTTACACACTTTTTTCTATTTGCTGCTGTTATCTGCCATGTGGTCAGAACTAACTCACAGATGATATTCACTGGGTTTTCAGAGGCTGTAAATTACACAGGACTAGAACGTCCATCATTCTCCTGTGGAGCAGCTGGTGGATTCAAATCTCTTGCCTTTGGGTTGGCTGCATAACTCCTTACCCACTAGGCCAGAAGGACTCCTTTTTTGATAATTAATTCTTAATATAATTGTCATGATTGTTAAATTCTGGTGAGATTCTTGAAACTCTTACAATCTTCTACTAAATTTTGTTTGATTGCAACGCTCTTTTTAAACTGTCCTGTGGATCAGTTTATTTCTTTGCTGAATGTAGCTTTGTGGTTATGTCTGTCCCTGAAAATGTTGGGAAATAAGGCCAAAACTTATTTCAGATGACAAACAAAAACTGTACTACACTTTTTTTAATTGATCAGTAAAGGAAATATCCTAAAAGAGATGTACAATCTATCACAAGCATAAATCTGAACAAATTACACCTTTAATGTGCAAAGTCATGTGAGCTTTTTTAATTGAAAAGGTCTCTATATAACAGATATTATTTTTAAAAGATGATAAAATATTGCATGAATTTATAACCTAAATTTTGACTGAACAAAACAAAGACACTATCTAAACTCTCAAAATAAATTTAAGATGTGTTGACATATCTAAAGGAATTATGGGATTGTCTTTTACATATTGGCATATTACAGTCTATGAATAATTTAACAATTCTTCTTAGACATGTTTGTCCTACCTCCATTTTTATCTTAATTGCAGTAAGAACTAGACTTAAGGGAGGGCTTTCAATAATAAGCAAGTTGAACAGAATTATTCTGTGCTTTTGGAATACATTCCAAATTTTCTATTTGAATATTGATGATTATGAGATTATAAGAGGTCTTGGTGCCACCTGCTTTTCAAGGTTTTCCTGTTCTTAATCCTGCGTGTTGGGTTCCTGACCTTTCAGGTCTTTAAGAATGTTATCTAACTAATAAAAGATAAATAGTGAAATGTTTTTATTAAAAAGACAGTGTTGTATAATAGTGAAATACATGGACTCAAATTCCAGAAGTATGTGAATCTCTGCTCTGATGTTTCATGTGCTTTGAAGAAGTTACTCAGTCTCTCTAGTGTCTGTTTCATTGTCTGCTCTCTAATAAATAAGTGCACCTACCCCTTGGGTTGGCACGATAATGAAATGTTAGTATTTAGAAGCACTTACTACTCTGACTGGAATTTAATAAATTCTATTTAAGCAGTCACTAAATAAACACATGTTTCCAATTACAAAGGGTCTTCGGGGTGGGGGGAAGGTCTTAGAGTCAAATTGATCTGAGTTGGAACACTACTACCACTACAACTACTAAAGGGAGCTCGTCTGGTGGCCTAGTGGATGAGAAGTTGGGTTACCAACCCAAAACCAGGCAGTTCAAATCCACCATGGAAGAAAGATAAGCAATCTCCTCCTGTGCAGTTTACAGCCTCTGAAAATCAGCTGGAGGGTCAACTGTGAATCAATTCTGACTTGACAACATGTAACCAAGCATAACAGCACTAACATGATAATCTCTTACCTCAGTATTAAGTAATATTTGTTTATGTATAAAATTCCTAAAATAATGCCTAGTCCAAAATATATAATAAATATTAATTTTTATATTACTACTAATGTTTAAGTATATTCAGAACTCTCTAAACTGTTTTCTTAGAATTAAAAAACGAACAAACAAACCCTAATTCAATAATACTATCTGCAGCAAAGGTAAATCATTTCAACAGAATTTAAAACAATTTTATTTCCTCATATATAAACTTTAATGCTAATGCCTAAGAGTTGACCTAATTGTCACTCTTCTATTGATGTTTATTCATTTATTGGCATTCCTCTAACATTGAATCCATTTTTATCATATTGTATAAAATATCTTTTTTAGCCTTGTAAGAGCTTAAATCCAAGAATAGGTCCCAAATAGTATTATACTCTTTTTACAGCACTTTTTTTTTTTTTTTTGCATTTCTATTGCAGATGTCTGGAAGGCTATGAGATGGACACAGATATTGATACATTCACTTGCCAGAAAGATGGACATTGGTTCCCCAAGAAAATCTCCTGCAGTCCAAAAAAATGTCCTCTTCCAGCAAACATGACACATCTACTCATTCATGGGGAAGATTTCAGTGTTAATAAGCAAGTATCTGTGTCCTGTAGAGCAGGATATATATATGAAGGAGTTAACGTATCCACCTGTCAGGTAAGAGTTGTAGAGCTCATGTGTATTGCCATGCAAACAGTAGTCTCCTGTCCCTAATAAGGAATGAATTAATAACTCAGTTAATTAATAAAAGGCTCACGGTTTCAGTATCATCAAAGTATTTGAACGTTTTTTGTTCAAGATAACATAAGTTTCTTCTCAGTATTACCTTTTTTTAAAAAACCAATAAAATCCCACACGTTTTTGTTAGATAAAATATTAAAATACCAACAGCAAGATGTTAATGGAAAATTACCACTCAAAACAGTGACAGTGTTGAAAGTACCTTGGCCAAATACGTTTTAATGGAAAGACTGAAGGTTTCCGAAAACTACCCCTCAAACCTCCTCCTTCCCCTTCAAAGCTTTGTCTCCAGGTTGATTCTTGGCAAGCTGATCCTGTGGGTGTCAGAATAGAACGGTGCTTCATAGCATTTTCAGTGTCTGGTTTTTGTGCTAGTGTGGTGCTAACGCTCAGGTGGTATCTTACTGGCGGTTTTAATCCTTCAGTGAAGAATGATAGGCAGTCTTCTCCCATGAGAGTTACCGTCTACGAAAAATGAGCGTTGTTTTTAAGTCAGTTCTATGTGTTAGTAATGAGTTTGAAGGTTTTTAGTTTAAGTTTTTTAAAACCAAGGTACCTCTGTGTATGTTCAAACCAGCAACTTTTCAGTTAGTAGATGAGAATTAACGGCATCCCTTTCGGTGACCTCAAGGGCTCAGAAGACAGATCATTGAAGTCAAAACCTCCCACCGTTACCTACCACATATGTGACTTTTTTTTCACATGTGTGACTTTTAAAAGAACCTTTAGTGATGCAGTGGTTAAATACTCTACTGCTAAACAAACTTAAACCCACCAGGCACTCCACAGGAGGAAAAAAATAACAGGAGCAATCTACTTCTGGGCAGTTCTGCACAGTCCTACTGAGTTGCTGTGACATCAGTTCGATGGCAGTGAAGTTTTTAGGGGTGTGTGACTTTGAGAAAGTTACTTCAACTGTTTGAACTTCATTCTCTTTATTTGAAAAATGCATATCAGAGTACTCGCTTTATACAAGTGGTGTGAGAAAGTAGTTAGATAATCAGAGAGAAGGCCAAGACCAATAGGTGGTTTCCTCAGCACATCTCTCTAGCTTCTGTAAGATGTGCAGAGAAAGAGAAACGAGTCCTTGATACACACTTCTCTTACGGAACACGGGGAGGAATGCTTCATAGTCTAGAAATCACTTTTCCCTTCAAATACACTTTTGTTTAAGGGAGCTCTGGTGGCTTAATGGTAAGGATTTGCACTGCCAAACCAAAGGCGTGTAGTTAAAATGCATTGCTGCTTTGTGAGAGAAAAATGGGCAGTCTCTTCCTGTGCAATTTACTGCCTCTGAAAACCCACGGGAGGGTGAGTTATGGGTTGGTTTCAGCTCAGAGGTACACAACAAAACATGTTTGTTTAAATTTCAGTTTAGATATTTACACAGATACCTTATAGTCCTTCAACTTGTCTTACTTGGGAGTTGAAAGGATTAAATTATTTTAAGTTGTAATGTGAGTGAAAAATTTCAAAGCAAATTGGCATTCCATTCAACTAGGCATACACATTTTGTTTCATAGTAATTATAAACGTTATAAATAATACCCACAATATAAGCAGTCTTTTCACTTCCTCCATGTAATTTTCATTTCCATGAGTCCTCTTATTGTACTTCTTCACACCTTCTGGGTTTTGTCCTCAGAAAAATGCTTCTCTTTTGACCTTCTAGAGTTAATGGTTATAAGGAATGAGTGCCTCCCAGGCTTACTGTTGACTTTGTAAGCCTGCCACCTGAGAGATGAACCACAGATTAAGTTGTATTCCAAGCTTGAAGGGTAACTATAACTTATAGTCTGGAAGGTGCCACCAGTCTCTAGGAGACCAACAAACCTAGCCTTTTCTATGTTTTTGTGTTTTGTTCCACATTTTCCTCCACTTTATCCGGGATCTTTTACTGTGGGCTCTTTCAGAGTTGTCAGTGGTGGTAGCTGGGCACCATCTAGGTCTTCTAGTCTCAGGACCGTGGAAATTGAGGTTTGATTGGTCCATTGAGGAATAAGGACATTAACAATCTAATTACTTATTATAGAAGTACATGTCTGACATATAGTGAGGACTCAAGAATTATTTCATTCTCCTTTCAGTTTTCCATTTCTGCACTTAATCAGTCATTATCTAAAAAAATCAGTTGCCATCAAGTTGATTCTGACTTATGTGTTCAAGAAATTACTAGAAGTGTTCCATGACCATTATTAAGCCTTCCAACAAATAATGTGTATTTTTTTTCAGGCCACAGATTTGTTACAAGAGGACAAAATGTTAGGCCCCTTTGAGTCTTATTTCTGGAGCTATTCTGCTATACAATCATATTTTCAGATATCCTTATTAATACTTATTACCACTAAATGTAACTTACAATTTCTTTAGCTTGATGGCACCTGGGAGCCACCATTTGCGGATGAATCGTGCAGTCCAGTTTCTTGTGGGAAGCCTGAAACTCCAGAACATGGACTTGTGGTTGGCAGTAAATACAGTTTTGAAAGCACAATTATTTATCAGTGTGAACCTGGCTATGAATTAGAGGTAAGCACACAAATTTTTTTCTGATTTTTTAAATAAAATTTTTTATACTAGTTTAGTTACAAAGTTCATACACATTGTTTTTCACACTGTATCTTTCCCATTTCCTTTGCTTATCCTTCCCTCCACCCATCAAATTGTGAGACCCTATGATTAACCCCGCCCCAAGTACACTAATTTTATAACAACAATTATTTTACCTTTCTATCTATTTAATAACATATACAGTATTAGTACTAATTTGTTTCACTGACTTTGGTCTCAGAAGAGTCTGCTGTAGTCAATTGCCTTATACCCTAGTGCTTTCCAGAAAACATCTAAGATAACATAATTTTGAAAAGGAAAATAAGTCTCAAATAATTTACTAAAAAAGAATCAAGACATGAAAAAGAAGAGTAAGCAAGTATGTAAATCACTAGACTGATACTGCTACCTCATCTGATCACTGGATTTGTCTTTTGACATCCTGGCAATCCAGGATTTAGCAGGAAAATCCCTCAGTCACATGGGAAGATGATGACCATAGGGATTAAGGGGCATAAAGACAAAATTCTCTCAAGTAGGGTAGTTGCTTAACAATGACAAGTTCTTGACAGAGTTGGCAGGTTCCCACATGACAGACTGGCCTGAAAACAGTTCTCAGTATGGTTCTAACCAAATATCAATATTGTTCTCCAGAGCACTCCCAGCTGGCAGTTTTAAGCCCCATCTGCCTCACCTGTTTTGTTATTAGGTACCACTGAATCAGCCTGACTCAGTGACCCAGTGTACAACAGAACAGAGGACCACCTGATCCCATGCCAGCCTCACAATCAATCATTATGGCTGTGTTTGAGCTTGTTGCTGTGACTGTGACAATTCATCTCATTAAGGATCTCCTTTTTCACTGACACTCTATCAAACATGATGACCACCTGCAGGGACTGGTCTCACCATCCTTACACCTAAGGAATATTCTATCTCCACTTCTTCCAGCACAGGTTTGTCCAGTATTTGTCACGAACACCACAATTCTTCTTCCATCATCCTCATTCATTGTCCAGCTTTCACGTGCATACAGGGTACACCTACACCTCCCTAACTTGCTGGTGAAAGGGTTGTACTCAGTTTTACTGCAAACAGTATCATGTAATCGAAGCTGGCATTTAAGACAGAGACCTATTCCACATTATTTAATGTCATCTGATTTTTCTGTAAAGTCCTCTGCCCTGGTTTTATCACTGTAGTAGAATTTAAATATAGACTTCGCAGAATATTCTCTGTCAGTAACCTGTTAAATTTGCATAGCATAATTCATTATTTTTTAACCAAAGAATCAAAGGATGTCATAACACAGGGGTAAGAAAATTGCAAACAGGTTTGTGTGGCCCTTTATTTCCTCACAAGGTTTATGAAAAAAAGGAAGGATAATAATATATGATTATTGCAACCAGAAAATGCCTACATTATTGAGTCTGCTTTTGTTCCTCATGTGAGAGTACAAAACTTAAGAATTAATTTACAGGGACACTGGTGTGAAAATGTGATAAAATATACAGTAAACTGATGAGTCATTAAATCTGAGGAAAAAGATCATTGTGCTTAAACATTTTGGGAAATATCATTTTAACCTTAAAGAGCCTCTGAGGGCTGGAGGTAAAAGAGGTAAAGTGACTAGCTTGGCCCTTTTTCGTGGTTTGTCCTCAGTATAAGTATAAAAAGATAGTTTCTGCCTATAAAGATTTACACCCATAGAAACCCAAAGAAAGGTCCCCAGGAGTTGTAATCAACTCAAAAGCAGTGAGTGTGGGGGGTTGGAGGAGGGGTTGAGTTTGGCTTCAGTGTAAGGTAGTTATTATCATCACTCCTAATAGTCATTATATTACTATCAAAATCAGACAAAGCAACTAGGAAAACGAAATTATGTTAAGTTCTCATAGTATATCATTTTGATGGCATTCATAGCTAGGTAAGCAGCTTTTTGAGCCATCTAAACCTTAAAAATCAAGTCTGTACCTTAACTATGCTTGTCTACTAGAGTATGAATTTTGCAATAACTTAATGAAAAAAATTTTTTTTAAAGTCTAAACCAGCAAACTCATTAAAATGGATTTATTGGCTCAACATTCTGGTCAAGGAAACCAACTTCATAGGGAAGTTGACTTGCATTGTTTTATTGTCTTTATGTCATAAAGTTACAATCTTGTCAATGACCTTTTCATTGATTCCCAGGGGAACGGGGAGCGTGTCTGTCAGGAGAATGGACAGTGGAGTGGAAGGGCAGCAACATGCAAAAGTAAGTTAGACCACACTTAGACTTTATGAAAAGCAACCTCAACCTTGTGATCATCTTCTTTTAAATCAGTTTTGAAATGAAAAAAAAATTTTTCATTAACTTTATAAACTCTATAAAAATTTTTGATGAGCTTTTAATCAAGAGCACCAAACCAGTAAGAGTGTTAGAAACTATAGCAGAACTTTATAATTCAATTATATCAGATTACAAGATCACTGAGTCTGGCATGGTAAACATTTTGTTACAGAACTTGATAATTATTGGACTAATTTGCATTTGGGGGGGACTTTCTTCATATAATTATAAATTTAGAGTTAATTGATTTTTTGGTGACAGTACTGACCAATGCTGACATCTTTTTTGCAAGTGATAGTAATTTATTTATTTAAATGAATGTTCACACTTTTGTTTTAACTTATTTTGTGGAAACATCTCACCTCATTTGACAAAATGTGGGTAAACTTTGATGACTTTTTCTTAATATATGATCCAAATGATTCCTCTGCCAAAATATATTCAAACATAATTATATGAAAATGTTCTTTGTCTGAGATTCTAATTTACCTGATCATCTTGCATTTTAGAGTTAGGTAATCATAATTCTAAGAAGTAAATAACAATATATAGGGAAAAATTCTTGGCCACAGTCAGAACTTAACAAATGATAATTCTGTCATTACACTTACCAGTGTAAAAAGGCCTCCATATGCACAGATAACTTGAATCATTGTGGAGAAATGGCAGTCTTTAGGTTGCTTGAACGTGTTCATCCAACAGAGGCCCTGATTTGACCGAAATGGTCTGTGCTATACTGTTAACCTAATGGTTGGTAGTTTGAACCCTCCCCTGGGTATCTTGGAAGAAAAGGTCTGGCAATTTTCTTCCATTAAGATTACAGACTAGTTTTACTCCATACGTATGACTTTGAGTCAAACAACAATAAATAATGACAGTAATCCAATACGTATACAAAGGGACTCTTGTCTTTCAATGTTTATTATAGAAACTCACATGTAGTGGACTATAATATTTTCTATGTTGCACTGAATGCCTTAGTAATTGTAACATAAGAAGAAAATAATATTTTAGGAAAAGTATCATATGAGACCTTTTTTTTTCTTTTCAGAGACCAAGTGCAAAGCCCCATCAGTGTTTCTAAATGGAAAGGCTGAAGTTGAAAATGCTACAGGTGGACCCCATGTGACGTATTCCTGCAACAGAGGCTACAGCCTGGAAGGGACACCTGAGGCTTACTGTACTGAAAATGGAACTTGGAGCCACTCTGCTCCTCTCTGCAAACGTGTGTGTTGACTTTAGGAGAGATGTTAACTGCATATCGTTTCTGGATTAGTTTCTCAAATGTCCAGAACATGGAGTAAACCTCCACTAATAAGGAACATTTGTCTAGAAAAAGTAATCCAAGCCTATCCAAACCAGTACTGTGGTTCTTTTAAAAATGAGTGTGTATTGTTTAACTTTCTAGTTCTAGAATCAGATTACTCGGTTGATGATAATTCTAAGGCACTGAGGGGGAAAAAAATGAAACTTAATGGAAAAATATTCACAGAAATGTACAATTCATTCCATTGAGAATGGAACAGAGTAAAGAAAAAATTATATTCTACCTACCATATTAATATAATACACAGCAGACAAAGGTAGTTAGTCAAACTATTTGCATAAAATCCACCACCCCTCTGTAACTTTGTTGTATTGTGGTTACTTCAGTGTTGCAGTGATGCTGAAAATTACGCCACTAGTATTTAAAATACCAGCAGGATCATCCATGGTGACCAGGCCTCAGAAAGCTTCCTGACAAAGACATACTAGGAAAAAAGGGCTGACAAACTAATTTTGAAACATGTTGGCCAGTGATAGATAACCTTTTGAACAGTGTCAGATATTACTTGATATTATGCCCCTCAGGTTAGGAATCCTCGAAATACAATAGGGCAAGAACTGCCTCCTTGAAGTAAAGTCAAACTTAATGACATGGATAGAGTAATATTTTTGGAACCTTTATTGGTTTATGTGGCACAACTTAAAATAATAAGAAACAGGTACAAATATCCATTAGTAATCAAAACATGGAATGTATGAAGTGTGACTCTAGGAAAATTGAAACCTATCAAAAGTAAAATGGAACATTTGAAGATAGATATCCCAGGCATTAGTGATCCCTGATGACATGCATGGTATGTTACATGCTTGGCGGCTAATCTAAAGGTCAGAAGTTCAAATCCCTGGCACTCTTCTAAAGATTGGCAGTCTTATAATGATTTATGCCCTCAGAAACCAAATACTTAACAACAGCGCTTTAGTGAGCTGAATGGACTTATATTGACCATTTTGAATCAGAAAATTATATGGTCTACTATGCTAAAAATGGCACATGCTAGAGAAGTGTGCCATTCATTTATCAAAAAGAATATTTCGGCCTTCCCTCCATATCTTCTTTCAGTGAGAAAGGTCTGTCCCTTTGGGGATGTAATTTTCTAATAAATATATCATTACTATTTTACCCTTCATAGAGGGCCTTCCTCTCCTGTGCTGTCCCTCCACCCTCCCAAGCATGATGTCCCTCTCCAAGGACCGGCCTCTCCTCACAACATGTCCAAAGTATGTTAGATGGAGCCTCAGAATCCTTGCCTACAAGGAGCCACCCAGTTTAACCCTCTCCAGGACAAATCTGTTTGTTTTCCTAGCAGTCCATGGTATTCTCAATACTCTTCTCCAGCACCACAGCTCAAAGGCATCAATTCTCCTTCTATCCTCCTTGGTCATTGTCTAACTCTCTGATGCATAACAAGTGATTGCGAAGACCATGGCCTGTATCAGACGCACCTTAGTCTCCAGAGAGACACCATTGCTCTTCAGTACTTTGGCGAGGTCCCTAACAGCAGACTTTCCCATGGCAATGCGCCTTTTAATTTCCTGGCTGCGGTGCCAAGACTATAATTGGGATGGGAGTGTCGGAGACAGTGCTGTTGGCACAGGACAGAGCGGAGTTTAGGGCTGTTGTACATAGGGTCGCTATGAGTCACAAGTGACTCGACGGCACATAACAACAACAACATTTTACCCTTAAAAAAAAAAAGAATATTTCAAGATCCCTCCTAAAGTGTGGCACTGTGAACTGCGGTGATAGGATCATATCCCTAAGTCTACAAAGAAAACCAGTTAATACAGCTATTACTCAAACTTTCTTGCCAACCACACACAGATGCCAAAGATGAAAAAAGTTAACATTTCACCAACTTCTGCTGTCTGAAATAGATTTTAAAAAAATGAAATCAAGATACATTGATAATTAGAATATAAAATGATGATTAGAATGCAAAAGTTGGCAAGAGAGAACTATTGGTAGTTGGAAAATACGGCCTTGGCGATAGAAATGACCAGAGATAGAGAACAGAACAGAATTTCTCTAGACTAGCAAATATTAATTTCCCGTGCCTGTTTTCAACAATATAAATGGAGACTATACATGTGACCTTCATCAAAGAAAATTCACAGGAGTGTAATTGACTCCATCTGTGGAAAGAGAAGATGAAGCAGCTCAGTAAGTCAGAATAAGGCGAGGAGCTGTCTGCCGAACAGACCATAACTTTTTAGTATCCTTGTGCAAGTTGAAGCTGAAGAAAGTTAAAGCCAATATAGAAGAGCCTTGAGTTTAACACACCTGAGTTTAGAGACAGTCTCAAGAATAGGTTTGGAGAGAAAAAAACAAAACAAAACAAAAGAACAGATTTGGGACATGCAGTACAATAATCCAAGATCAAATGAGTTATGGCTTGAAATCAAGGATACCATAGATAAAGAAAACAGAAGGTCATTAACAAGCTAGCAAAGGGAAAAAAAGTAGATGACGGAAGAGTTTCTGTAACTCGATCTTGAATCTAATCACAGCGAAAGGAAGCAATTATGAAATAAGGGAGCTGAACAGAACATTTTAAAGAGCATCTCAGGAAGAAAAGGTATGAAAATAAAATGTCTGAAGACATGGAGTTAGAAAAGCAAAAGGCAAAGACACATAGTGTCTCTCAACCATTAAAAAAAATGAAGAAAAAATTCCATTTTAAGCTGTAATATTGAAGAATTCTGTGGGCAAAATATTGAATATATCAGAAAGCATCAAAAGATGCAAAGAATATAGTGAGTAATGGTACCGAGAAGCAACATAATATTAAAAACTGTTGGAAGAATGAAGAAGCCCAAGTTGCACTGAAAGCATTGATAAAAAGACTTCAGGAGTGACTGAGATACCAGTTGAGATGCTTCAACAAACAAGTGCAACACTGGAAGAACTCCTTCATCTCCACAGAAATTTGGAAGGCAGCTACCTGCCAACAAAGTAAAAGAGATTAATTTCTGTGCGCATTTGAAACCAAAGTGGTCCAACAGAGTGCAGCAATTATTGGACAATATCATTTGTATCACATGCAAGTGAAAGTTTGCTGAAGATAATTCAAAATCACTTGCAAAAGTACATCAACAAAGAACTGCCAGAAAGTCAAGCCAGACTCACATTCTAGAATAATTTATAATTTGAGTTCTAATGTGCTGCCCCTAGTACTATATTTCTGGGAGCCTGGTGGCCTAGGGCATAAGCAGTTTAGGTGGCAACCCAAAGGCAGGCAGTTCAAATTCATCAGCCGAGAGAAAGGTGCAGTCTCTTCCTATGCACGTTATAATCTCTGAAAACCTCCTGGCAGTTTAGCAATGAGTCAGCTTCATCCCAAAAGCAATGAGGGAGTAGCATATTTGGATCTAAAATTGTGTTTGAAATGTCTGATGTTCTTAAACTATTAAGGGACTATTTTATACATCATTCATAGGGAGTTGTGATGCAAACCCACAGGTGGTTTGAATCTACCAGCAACAATGTGAGAGAAAGTTGGACAGTCTCTTCTTTTGCAACTTGAAGCCTCAGAAAACCCACGGTAGATCAACTATGAGTTGGTTCCAATCCAATGGCAATGAGTTAATTTTTGTTAAGTTGATTTGATATTCTGTTTATTTCTAGAAATATCTCTTGTTTTCAGTCTCATCAACAAAACATTTAAAAATTTGTAAGCCATAATTTTAGACCATCGGGCAGGGTATTGTTCTGCTGTATATGGAGTTATTATGAGTCAGAATGTCCCCTACAGCATCTAACAACTCAGGGGGAGGTAAGGGGAGGAACCCAGAATCACTCACTGCCATTGGTTCTGACTCTTAATGACCCTCCAGTGAGTTTCCAAAGCCGTAAATCGCAATAGGAGGAGAAATGCGTCTGGGTTAGTGGTACAGTTTCCTATGGATTATGCCAACTGAGTTTCTCAACCTAACAATTATGACAATTTCATTTAGCATCTTAGAGTTTTAGAATCTGGTGCTAGTGATTGAGCAACTTGATGCGTTCAAATCCCTGAATTTATCCTTTTAAGTAATTAGTTTCATTTGAGTTCAGCACAAAGCTACTTAGTCTATTTCTCAGCCTGATGTTATCATCACTGAGAACCAAACTGTTAGAGGCCTTAGATTCTGCTCTGGTTTACGGGATATTTTAAAAAAATTCATCTTCTATTGAGTTGCATAAAAAATCAATATACATATGAATATATATTCATACACATTCATATACACATACAATTTATATACATTGTGTTTCACACATTCCTTCATTCACATGGTGTTTCATATGATCATTCCAATACATTGTGTTTTATAAAATTAATCAGGATTGACCTATGCCCACTATTACCCTGTCGCCCCTGGATCATTCTTAATTTTGACTACCCCCTTTCTCTACTCTGTGCCCCTGTGATTTTCCCCCTTCCCCACCCTTAACCCCCTATTTCCCCTTCCTCCCTTGGACTTTTGTACACATCTTACTAGTTACTTATATTTTTATTTTTTTAAGAGGGAAGATCTCAGCAAGAATTTCTCTTTTTTAATAGCAAATCCGTGTCCTGTTCCTTTTGTGATTCCGGAGAATGCTCTACTGTCGGAAAAGGAGTTTTATGTTGATCAGAATGTGTCTATCAAGTGTAGAGAAGGCTTCCAGCTCCAGGGTGAAGGCATCATTACCTGCAGCCCCGATGAGACGTGGACACAGACAAGTGCCAAGTGCAAGAGTAAGTCAGCACACGGAATCCAGACTGTCTCAGTAAAGAGAAATGTCTTCCTGTGTTTGGGAGATAATTTAAAATCCAGTAACTTTATTATAGATCTTTAGGTCTCTGTCCTTGATTGGTTATTAGCCTCTGCACTGTCAATTTTTAATTCCTTAAAAGGATTCTTGAATTCCAAACAAAACTCTTTTCATAAAAAGAGAACAGTCATTTTCCAAATAAATTCCAAATAAGCTATAATTTATCTGGTCAGGAGTCACTAAAGATTTTCAAAATGTGTTCTTCTGCAAATGAGCAAGAAATGAAATTTCAAATGTGTGTTTTTCTGTCATGTTTTCCAAACTATTTTCCAACAAGCCAGCACAGAAATCCCACAGTGGTCCTCCATCTGCTGACAGGGCCCTATGAGTTGTTATCATTTCAGACACCCACCGACAATAACAATGTGAAACCACAGGTTTCAAGACCTTTGTTAAAGCATGTAAATTTAGTTCCTGTACTTTAAAAACAGTTTCCACTCATGTATTCATTCTTCAGATATGCGTGTCGATGTTAGTCTAATCACTAAGAAGGTATCCCTGATGGGTTATGCAGTGTGACAAGGAAAGGAACGATCTTGACTCCCATAGCCTACCGTCACTATGCTTTTCTTCTTCTAAGCCCATAAGCATTCTTCATTAACATTTTCTTGCAACCACCTCTTTCAGATGTTCCAGACCCGTGTGTGTGTGTGTGTGTGTGTGTGTGTACGCACGCTCCCAAAGTCCAAACCGACCCATAGCTGACCTTCCAGCAGGTTTTCAGAGCCAGTTAATTCCATGGGATTACAGCACAGCTTCTTGCCACTAGGCCATTAGTACAATTAGAAAAATAAATCTATGTTTACTAAACAACATGCAGGTATTATATAGGTAGGGGGGAAATATATATTTATGTATTTTAGGGAGCTCTGGTGGCCTAGTGGGTAGGAAATTGTGCTGTCAACCCCAAAGGTGGGCCATTCAAATCCACCAGGGATTCCATTGGAGAAGAGGGGCAGTCTCCTCCAGTGTGTTTTACAGCCCCTGAGTGAATAGCGATGAGTGCATGCTCATCTATTGGATTTTTATTTGCTTTTCTGTAGAAATCTCCTGTGGTCCACCAGCTCATGTGGAAAATGCGATTTCTCGAGGCGCACATTATCAGTATGGAGACATGATCACCTACTCATGTTACAGTGGATACATGTTGGAAGGTTCCCTAAGGAGCGTTTGCATAGAAAACGGAACCTGGACATCACCTCCTATTTGCAAAGGTAAGGAAGTATTTGAGCAAAAAAGATTTTTTTAATTGAGATTGTATTGCAAATTTATAAAGAATTTGGATTTAAATTCTTTCATTGTTGCACATTTTCCTCCCTAACCGCCCCTCCACACCCAGTTTGGGTTTATTTTGTTTTTTTTTTCCTTTGGGAAAAAAAGTTCTTATGATGTGAGACCACTTTACTATGCAGCTCTTATTATGGACTCTTGTCATGCCAATAATACCTAATCACATATTCCTTATACAATTCTCTCCCGCATCTGTTTCAAAGCCGTATATACTATGTATCCCCTCTTTTCTTAGTTTTCCTCCAACCCCCCATGTCAGTCCTATTTTATAACAGTGATATTATGCAGTATTTGTCTTTTTATGACCAAGATATTTCACTCAGCATAATTTCCTCCGTGGTCACCTATTTGGTATAAAATTTCATGAGTTCTTTGTTTTTCAGTGCTGCATAATATTCCATTGTAAGATTATCTTTTTTTTTTTTTTTAAAGTGCAGGTGAAAGGATCTTTGTATGGAACCCGTTGAATTTGGTAGTGGGAAGACACCACTAACATGAACTTAAGTGATTTCAGGGGCTGTTGGGAGCAGAGGCCACTACTGCTGTTTGAGGGGTGAACTGATGGCAAAGAAATGATGAAAGAAAGTACAAATCACACTTTCTAGAAACTTGATGGGATAGAAAGAGGAGAAAAGTATCATCTAGTTATCTGTTATAGGCTGAGTAATCAGCCAGTGCATTTGCATCACTTATTTAGGGTTAGACAGAAAAGAATTTGAGGTGACGGTTTGAGGGTTTTGTTTGTGAGAATGGCTCAGGATAGGGCAGATGGTACATAATAACAAATGTTTTCTAAGAGGAGATACTGAAGGGCCACGAGCAGCACCAAAGATGTCTTTGGAGAGTTAAAATCAGCCCAGTTTTTCTCTACTATTTGTCTTTTCCCTAAAGCTACTAAAAGGAAACAAGCACACTTTGCACTCTAAACTACAGAGTGTGTGTGTGTGTGTGTGTGTGTGTGTTACAAATCAGAATTCGTTTGTTTTATTTGGTCTGTGGTGTTTATTTTTAATGGTTTTTTTGGGTGTGTGCTTTTCATAAATCATTCATAGGCATTAATTACGATAAATTGTTCAGTTAACTTTTTACAATGTTAAAGCAAACCCTTGTCATATGCTTTTACCTACCTCTATGTTTTTTTGCATTTTTTTCTCTTTCTTTTTTTCTTCCCCTTCCCTGTTCCATCTAATCCATAGTATATGTCCTGTTCCAAATTGTTAATGGCAGTACACATGGTATCTGATTGTATCAGATTACAGTTCCTTTTCCTATTTCAGTACAGGAATTACCTATCCATTTTTTTTCTCCTACCCTCTTGCCCCCCTTTCCCCACCCCAAGCCATCTCATTTTTATATCATTGATCTTAAAATAGTATTCATCCTTTTGTAACTGAGATTAAACTGTGCTTTTGAAACTAATTTTCTGGCTGCCTCTCTTGAAACCCCAACCAAACTTTCATTCTTAGTACCCAGAGTCCTTTGATGGCACCTCTGAGAGATAAAACAGTAGTAGAGAAGAACAGTTGCAAATACAGACTAGAGCAGGGCTGTGTACTGGAATCCTTGAATTACAGGAGAAGGATAGAATCCAGAGCACAGCTGATTTCTGCTCACCGTGGGCCAAGCCAGGGAGGAGGACTTGGAGATGTTAAAGAGCATGCCCCAGGGCGGCACGTTGGTACTCCCCAGACCCCATGATGTGGGAATAATACTAAATCTTCGTGGAAAATAGGTTGAAAGATTCTCTGCCCATCAGTACACCTTCCGATGAAAACCAATTTTCCTTTAACCCCACAAAATGAGCTCCAGGCTAATTTAAGATTCCAAGCCCATTCGTAGGAGGGCCCAAGTTTATAAGGACTCCCCTAACATAAGGCATCTGTCCCTCATACAGTGTTATACTGAATCCCAGGTATACCATGACTCTCAGAATCATGAGAAGGTCTAGGAAGCACACATAGGGATCTCTATGACTCTGGACAATGTCACAGAAGATATGGAAAAGGTCACCATGACTCTTACTTGATCTTAAAATCAGATAAAATTTTCCAACAAAAATTTATTCCAAAAAAGGTACCTGAGGAAAATAGATAACTAAAAAAAAAAAAAAAAAAATCACTATCTTTCACAGCAAATGGATAAACCAAAAGAGAAAACATTTCTTGTCTCAAGATCATTCTGATTCATGGTGACCCCATGTGTGTCAGTATGGAACTAGGATCCACATGGTTTTCAAAGGCCATTGGAGAAGAGTATTGAGGGTCCCATGGACTGCTAGGAAAACAAACAGAGTCATCCTGAAAAGGGTTAAACCGGGCGGCTCCCTGGAGGTAAGGATTCTGAGGCTTCGTCTAACATACTTTGGACATGTTGTGAGGAGGGACCGGTCCTTGGAGAAGGACATCATGCTTCATGCTTGGTAGGGTGGAGGGACAGCGCAGGAGGGGAAGGCCCTCTATGAGGTGGATTGATTCAGTGACTGGGGTAATCGGGATGGATGTATTGGAGACGGTGCGATTGGCACAGGACAGAGCAGAGTTTAGGGCTGTTTTCCATGGGGTTGCTATGAGTCGCAAGCGACTGACTCGACGGCACATAACAACAACAACAACAATTATTTTGGAAGTAGATCTAAGGTCTTTCCTGTGAGGTACCTTTGAATGGATTCAAACCTCCAACCTTACAGTCAGCAGCCAAACACATTAACACTATGAACCAACCAGAGGCCTCAGAGAGTCAGAAAGGAACACAACATTGCTGCGGAGCATGAAAGAAATGTATGGTTGTGAGTCCACAGATAATAGAAGAGTGTTGGGTTTAAGGTGATGGACATTCAAGTAAAGGAACACCTGTATCTTCTTCCACATGGGAAGTTGTGGCGATGAGTCAGGGAAAGTTTCCTAGAGAGGGAGACATTGGAGCTGGCCTTTAAAGAACGAAAGAGCATTTAGCCAAAGAAGATAAAGAAAACAGTATTCAGGCAGGGAGAACAATAGTATCTGAAAAAGTCTGAAGTCCTAAGGAAGCAAGTCTAGGAGTGCTAGGTTTGAAATTCTTTCCAGGTTTATAAAAAATAAACACTGAGATGATAAGAGCCAATCAAATCCTATAGGTCTCCATTCCCTGAAATTCAGTTAGTTGTGTTTTCCTTCCTTAAAGCTTGAGTCTGGGAAATACTTTAGACTATAAATGAGTAATCCTATTTCCTGCCAACTACTTTCCATAATTCGTTAGGTTTATAACCCATCCTCTTCCCTTTCCAGCTGTCTGTCGATTCCCATGTCAGAATGGAGGCATCTGCCAGCGCCCAAATGCTTGTTCCTGTCCAGACGGCTGGATGGGACGCCTCTGTGAAGAGCGTGAGTCTGCCTTCAGAACTCATATGATATATTTTTCATTCATATTTTGGGTTCTGGGTAAAGTGCTAACTCAGGAAAGGTACCTGGCTTCAGCTTTACTAATGGGAAGAATTCATTTGCTTGGATTCTTGTAACTGGCCGGACAAGGCACATGGGGTTGCTCTGAGGATGTCAGTAGGTTGTGGATCAAGAATATCAGTGACTTTGGAATTAATTACCAATATCCATTCAAAACCATCTTTAGGATGTGAGGGCAATCTGGCTGCGACATCTGTCACCCCATTGATCGCCAGGACTGATCTGGGTGGCTAGGCAGGTGCCCCCCTTCCTCCCACACCAACCCATGAGTGCCCTCCCGAAGTTGTGCGCTGAGTTGAAGAGGATGAGCATCCCCCATACAAGGAAGACTGTCCATCTGTTGAGGGTATACAGGTAGCTGCGTTCCCCGGCTAGAACCTCCAAATAAGCTCTCAAAACCATCTTAACAAATGCGCAAATCTCTGAGTCTTTCTGGGAAAGAGAATGTAGCAGCCCAGCCCTGGGTTTCTCTTTTCTCTGTCTGTTCTGGGCCACTCAGTGCAGTGGTTGGTATTAATGGTCACCTTCTCATAACATTGTACCTTGCAGGTAGGATTTGTCACCCACTGTTCACTCTTTTTCCTTAATATAATTCCTCCCACTTCATAAAATAAGGAGACTTGGCACTCCTTCCTGTACGCTCAGTAGATTCATATGGAATTTTAATCCTCTAAATACCTTGTTTTTAAACTTCTGGAGGAGTGTAAATTCATCTTTAAATTTTACTTTTTCCCAGTTTCTCTATTGCACTTTGGATCCATATTGTTGTTTGTTGTTGTGTACCACAGAGTCAGAACCGGCCCATAGCTGACCCTCTGGCAGCTTTTCAGAGGCATTAGTTGCACAGGAGATTGCCCATCCTTCTCCCACAGAGCAGCTGGCAGCCTCAAACCACGTGCCTTTTGGATTTCAGTACAGCTTCTTGCCACTAGGCCACCAGAGCTCCATATCTTAAAAACAATATATGCACATTGAATGGTTTCCTACTTCTCTGAGAGTGGCATAAGTAAACCATGAAGGAAGGTCAAGTCACTTATGTAGTGTCCATTAGTTTCAACCAGTTATTTCTAAAGGCCAAGTGTTTTATAAGAATCATTAAGCTTCTTTAAATGTGACTATTACAACTGAACTTTAAAGGAAAATATAAACTCACCAAAACAGATATTCCTAGTATGTAAGTAATAAGAGAATTTTTTTTCTCTTCCCCCTGTAATTCCTACACCAAAATTTGACCTGCTTTAATAGCAAAAGCCCAAAAACTTGGGGTTTACCTTGGGATACCCCAGGTGCAGGCCTGGTTTAGCTGACTTAGCTCACTGAGTTATGCCTGCCCTCAGGTTTTAGACCAAAGTTTCCCAAGTTTTCACATGCACACAGATCAACTGAGGAATATTGATAAAATGCAGCTTCTGAGTCAGTAGGTCTGAGGTGGGGCTTGAAAATCTAAAAACTTCCCAGGCGATGCTAGCGCTGCTGGCTTGCAACTTGGAATATCAAAACTACAACTATTTCACACCCTTTGAACAAGCCACGTCTGTTCAATGAAGAGTGCCATACATTCAAGTAGGAGGAAACTTGCTGTGGACCATGGTGGGGAGGCCTGCCTTAGTCACCACAGACCTTGACTGGTGGAAATGAAAGCTGAGTGGTCCCATCACTACTACTATGTTGTCAACATCAGCCTTCAGTCTAATTCTCATTTCTTAATTCAGTTGAAACCAAGAGGTTTCAATGTACTTCTTTTCTGAAGACAGAGGCAAAATGCCTCTTAGAACATTTTGTCATTGGAAATGGAAATCTGCAATGATAGTAAATGGAGAACATTCTGCTTATCTTAGGCCAGTGCAGAGCACTTGGCAGACATCAGTGAGATGTCCTCACTGCAGGGGTGCATTTGGAATTAGCATCTTTACATCTGGATAAGGGACCAGACTTCTTTTCCCCAGGACATTGATGAAACTACACAGCACATAGGGAAGTTCATCAGTCTAGTGGGTCGGGGGAACTGTCACTCTTCCAGGAAAATTTTTTTTGAGCACTTGATCTGAACATGTGAATTTAGCTCAGATCTTTTTCTCTTTGCTTTTTTAGCAATATGCATTCTACCCTGTCTGAATGGTGGTCGCTGTGTGGCCCCTTATCAGTGCGATTGCCCCTCTGGCTGGACTGGGTCCCGCTGTCATACAGGTAAGTAGCTTCATCTCATGGCTTGTTTTCTTGTTGACTTGGCTCCAGGAAGCCCCAGAGGACACTAAAAAGTGAGACTCAGAGTCAGAGGTAGTGGCGACATTAATAAGGCCTCACGTGCAAGAACCACCTAAGATGGCCAGGTGAGAGGTGGTCTCAGTACTGAGCTGTCACTGCATCAGCTGTACCTGTCAAGAGTCACGTGCCGAAAACAGCATCTAAACGAACTAGGTTGAAAGCCGCCTTTGTATCTGCTCCATTTTGCAGAATGTGAAGAAAATGTTATGTACCGATTCGGAGAAATATTTGCTTTAATCTTCATTAAGCTAAATGACAAAGTTGTGGTATCTTTAATAAGATATATAAATTCTATTTTCAAATTAAAGTTAAAAACAAACAAAACAAACCTCATCAAAGAAGTGCTTCCTCATCATAGAAAAGCCATAACAAACAGGAAGGTTGATTAATTGTTAAAAAAACAAATCAGTCTTCTTTTTTTTTTCTTTTGTTTCTTCCTCTTTTTTTCTTTTTATCTTTTTCCTTTTTTTATTTTTCTTCTTTTTTTTGTAAAGCAGGCTTCTTTATTGTTGTTGTTGTTGTTGTGTTGTTGTTAGGTCGAGTACGACTTTTAGTGACCCTGTGAACAATGAATCTGAACCTTGTCCTATACTGTGCCATCCTTTATGTTAAGTATTTATTCCATTGTGCTTTGGTATCTCTTTAATTACTGCTTGCAAATCCCTTTCCTCCACTAGACTGTGTACCCCTTGAGGACAGAGATAGATGTTTGACATTTTTATATCTCCAGAGCTTAGCATACTATTGGTGGTGGTGGTTGCTGTTTGCTGGGTGCCTTGGAATCAGCTCTGACTCACAGTGACCCTACCTGACTCTGTACCATCCCCACAGTCTGTGCTTAGACCCATTGTCGCAGTCACTATGTCAATCGTCTCGCTGAGGGTCCTTGAAAAGGACTTCATGCATGGAAAAATGAAAGGAGGACACTTAGCAATATGAGAAAGTTTTGAATATGATAAAGTTTTGTTTTTTAGTAAGTATCAAATGAATCAATCCACCAAAAATGGGTTTTACTTTTTTGTGTATTTTTTTAAATTTTCTACTAATTTATTTACAAAATTTGAATACATTGTTTTTAAGAACAAATTCTTTCCATTTCCCCCCCACATCAAATTGTACAACCCTACGATTAATTCCCCCTCCCCCTGCACATCCTCATCTCTCTGCTTCCAACCTCTCCCACCTTCGTGGATTCTTATACTCCTTCTACAATAATGGTTTTATACAATATTTATCCTTTGGCATTGAGTTAGATCACTCAGGATAATGCTCTCCAGTCCCTCCCAAGTTAGGTAATAATTTACAAAATCATGTTCCTGCGTACTGCATAATATTCCATTGTGTGAATGTACCATAATTTCTCAATCCATTCATTTGTGGTTGGACATTTGGGCTGTCTCCATGTTCTTGCGAAGGTGAATAATGCATTTACATTTTTAAAGTCCTGAATTTTAGATAGCTGACAAAAGAATAAGATTTGCTGTGTTTGTTTAGTAGACTCTCTAACACTGTACCATACATCTATAAACAGCACTTCTAACCAGATCCCCAGGGAAGTAAAAGACAAAGCAACAGAGTAGCTGACACCAGACTTTGTTGTGTGCACTAATCCAGGACATTTTTTAGGGTAAAATAGGCACTATTAATAATTAAACCAGTGATATGAGAGTGAAAAGGACGACCACAGGCTTAGCGAGAGGTACGGTCATCTGATCTAAAGCTAACACTAAACTACCCATCAGTGTAGAAAATGATGCACCAGAGGCTAAATTTGAAACCTTTACTTGATTTTTGGAAGCAGGAGTGGCATCCACTTCCTAAATAACATGCCTCCAAAAACCTTATAAACTTCGATAAATGTCAATAGTTGTAGAGGGGTTTTAAGCTTTTTGTTCATAGGGTCTCTATGAGTCGTGCTCAACTCAGAGGCAGTCAACAACATTTGAGTTTATTCATGCAACCTAACTAATGATTGTTCATGGCAAATCAGCTTTGATAGTTATCCATTTTTCTCATGTGACCAAAATTGAACTCACCTGCAAATCAGTTCTATATCCTTTCCCGTAACTAAGCTCTGCTGGCAGCACTTCTCGATGGAGACCCCTTTGACACTCCCTCGCCTTCGCCTGAAACCCATGGCAGCACTTTTCGTCTTTTCTGCACAGATCTCTTATGTCGTACTCTAACCCTACTCACCTCCTAGTAGAAGGCCTATCCTTCTCTGTTAGTTTATTTTCTAATATCCAGGCAGAGCATCATTAATGTGCTGCTTTGGGCCTGTTTTATCATGTTTAATAACTTCAATGATTGCCTGTTGCTTCCACACCCAGCCAAAACTTTTCTGACTTCCAAGGTGCAACATAGCCTGGCTTTAGGACACCTGATAAACCTATTTCCCACTCCCACTAGTCATGTGTGGACCTCTGGTGGCCTGGTGGTAAGGAGTTACACTGCCAACTCAAAGGCACATGGTTCAAATCCACCAGCTGCTCCAATAGCAGTCACCTTGAATGCAATTGACAGCCTCTGAAAACTCTCTTGAAGGTTGGCTGTGAGTCTGTTCCAATTGGACAGCACTTAACAACAATAACAAGTCACCGTCTGCCGCAGCAGTGACTTCCTTGTTATCAACGATCCTCACCCCCACACACCAACACAGTCTTTTCTTCGTCACAACTCATATTTCACTGGTTTTCTCCTTTCCAACTACCTATTCAGAATTTACCAAATAGCCAAGGCCATTTCTAAGTTTCCTCTTATCTCTAGGCTTGTTCTATATGTCTGTAATCTATTTTCTAACATTCTGTTTCTATAGATGTTAGACAGAACCGTGCAGACTAATGTGCACTTGATCTCATGCATTTGTATTTCTTTTCATCGTCTAGCTAGAATAAGCCCTGAATGACATTGCTTTGTATAGTCTCCCATCTCTCTAATCTTCTAGCCACTACCTCTGCATATATTCTGGGAGCTCTGGTGGTGTAGCCCATAGGGGGTTCAACTACTAACCCAAAGGCATCCTGAGTCAACAAAACATATAAAGTAGTGCTCCTGCTTTCCAGCATTTCATTCTAGGAAAGGCCTGTGAGTAAAGAACCACATTCAGATATGGCTGATTAGCTTCTATGAGAGGTATGGCAGCCGTCGGGAGAGGTAAACTAAGCAAATGGAAGGCTTCAGAAAAGACTTCACAAACCCAGAATCAGAGGAAAGGCTGGAAGAATCACCAGGAAAAGATTATTCTTGTCAAAGGTGGGGAGGTATGAAGTGCAAGTTCAGCAAAGTAGTACTGAAGCCTGGAGCAAGTGTAGGTGCGGCTTTGTAAAGATGGGCAGAGCCAACTGTAGATTAGTTCTTGGATGCTTGCCTCCTATATCCACAATCAGCCAGAGCTCTTGGACTTTCAGGTGCAACATAACCTGCATTAGCTCGTGCCTGATAAACCTTATGAACAACAGAAACCACCAAAGGATTTTAAGCAGGAAAATTCCGTGATCCGATTTTCTTTTAGAAAGATGGTTTCGACAACATTATGGGCTTAAGCACAGCAGAGATTGTGTCAATGGCACAGGATCAAGTAGAGTTTGTTCTGTTATATGTGATGTCGCTGTGAGCTGCTGCCAACTTGGTGATACCTAAATAACAACATGGAGAAAGGATATCGCCCTGATGCTCTCCTTTCTTGATTTTAAACCACTCAGTGTTCCCTTCCTCTGTTTGGACAACATGTACTTGGTCTAGGTATAGATTTTGTATGAGCATAATTAAGTGTTACAGAATTTTCCTTCTTCTCAATGTTAGCCATAGTTTGTTATGATCCACACAGTCAAATGCCTTTGCACAGTCAATGAAGCACATATAGACATTGTCCTGGTATTCTCTGCTTTCAGCCAAGAGATTCATCTGCTGTCATCAATGATATCCCTGGTGCCACAGCCTCTTTTAAACCCAGCCTGGACTCTACAGTTCTCTGTCAGTGTACTTTTTAGCGACTTTTAGTAATCTTCATCAAGCTTTTGGCTGTTGGTTATTTTAATAATACTGTTTGCTAATTTCCACATTCTGTTGGATCACCTTTCTTGGGAATGGGAACAAATATGGATCTCTTCAGTCACTTGGCCAGAAAGCTGTCTTTTAAATTTCCTGGCACAGACTGGTGAGCATATTCAGGGCTGCCTCTAGTTGGAACTTGTCAATCGGTGTCCTTTCGATTCCTGGGGCCTTATTTTCAATGCTTCAGAATTTCTTCCCTCATCATCATTGACTCTTTATCATATACTACTTTCTGAAATATTTCAGTGTCAGCCAATTCTTTTTGGTTCAGTGACTCCGTGTATTCCTCCCACCTTCTTTTGTTGCTTCCTAGATCATTTAAGATTTTTCCCTTAGCATCTCTTAGTGTTACAACTCAAGGCTTGAATTCATTTTTCATTCTCTCAATAGAGAGATAACTCCAGCTCTTTGCAATGGGTTCAAGTGTGTCTGGAATGATAAAGGTGGTGCAGGATAAGAAAGGGTTCAGATCTGTTGTTCATAGGGTCACTATGAGTCATACTCAACTTGATGGCATTTAACAACAACAACATGGAAAATTAATTGGAAGAAGATTTAAAAAATATTATTAAAGAGGTTATTGAATTCAAATTGGTAAGAGCTCTGAAGTAATAATTAGGAAAGAAGTTAATTTTGAGGAGCATAGAACCAATTTTGGCTACAGATTTGTTGTGGGGTAGATATCTGAAAAGAGTTAAGATTCATATTCTGCTTTGTACCATTGACTGCAAGGTGGTGCCGACCACTGAGATAGAGAACACAGAAAGAGCGGGTTGAAGAAAAAAAATAAATATGGACATGCTAGGCTTGACTGCTCTAGGTAATTTATAAGGAGAAAGGTTTAATAAGGCAGTTTGATCATTACTTAGGTTCCTAGAAAATATATCCAGGTTGAAGATATAAATGTGTAAGTTATCACTGGAGAAAAGTTCTTAGGGAAAGAAGTAGGCAGAAGGTACAGAACATGAGTATGTGGCCCAGTATGGAGCATTTGGGGGAAGGAAGAAGATAACTTTTAGGTAAGTATGTAAAAGAATGTTTTGTTAGTTCAGGTAGTCACCACTAAGTCAGCATGCACTTTAAAAAGAGGTTTTGGAAATCAAAAGTCTCTGTAAATTTTCATTGAAATTAATAATAAATTTTTTGAAAGGTTTTGGTGGTTTTTCTTTTTTATTTCAGTCAGTCAGTCATTGCCATCTAATCAGAACTGGCTCATATCTGACCCTCCAGCGAGTGTTCAGAGGCAGTAACTTGGACGAGAGGAGATTGCACATCTTCTTCAAACTGCCTGCCTTTGGGTTGGCAGTGCAGTCTGCCCTGTGTGATTTGCAGCCTCCAAAAACTTGCCGGAGCATCAGCTCTAAGTTGGTTCCAAGTCCGTAGTGATGGCTCGTCTGAGCTTTCCACCAGCATGCACTTTATGTTCTTATGTGAGAGTTCTCCTTTTCATTAAAACTTCTTGGTAGGTCTTCATCAGGTTTTTTAAAACTAGAGCTCGTACAGATAAATGAAGAATTTCGTTATAAGACTGTAGATTTGTGAGCAGGATGTCAAGATGGTGTATCTTTGGGTGTTCACTCTTTGAGAGAGTTACATCTGTGACTCATTTTTAACCCAAATATACATTCTTTAACTTCATTTAAGTCTGGTAAAGGCCATGGAACAGATTTCCAAGACAGATACAAAGGACGTTTGAATCATCTGTTATTTTAGATAATCCGTACACCTGATTTATTGTGCTTAGGCTTAGGATCTGACTTAATATTCAGTCTGTCGGAGTTTAGTGCTAATCTCAATCAGAAATTTGCAATCTAAGCCAGAATGTGAAAAAAAAGCTTATAACCTTGTCAAATTGACTGTATAATAAAATAATGAAAGGAGAAAAATTGGCAAAGGTTTCGGTAAGAGGGTAGACCTTAATCTGGAATTAAGTATGAAAATGTACTAGATTGAAAAGGAAAGGAGAGGACGTGCCATAGAATGCGGTGAGGTCCAATAGAGTGGCAGAAATGTATAATGTCAGTAGCGTATGAGGAAAGGCAGCTGGAGTGGGAGGTGGGGCAGATCTTGCTCCACATTTCTTTGTGAACATCTTCAGAATTTCCATATGTTAATTGAATATTGCATGAATTTTTCATCCTAGCTGTTTGCCAGTCTCCATGTTTAAATGGTGGGAAGTGCATAAGACCAAACCGATGCCACTGTCTGTCTGGTTGGACGGGATACGACTGTTCCAGGTAAGACAACCAAAAGTCTTGCTCCTCAGGAGAATAATGGCATCAGACCTCCACTTAAGGTGTTCCTTGAACAAGAAAGAATGTCTAGTTTGAATGTAAGTAAAAATATCCATTTTGAGATATGCTTTGTAAATTTGAGCTAAAATCAGCCAAGAAATACTACTTTGTTTGACAAATTAAACAAACATCCTTATTGAAGTGAATATTACATCTATATGTGCATGAATATAAAGTAAATAATAAGATGCATATCTTATTGAAAATTATTTAATAGAGGTTAATTAAATTCCTGATTACAATAAAAATAGCACTGGAATTGATAAACTTACTTTTAAGGTCAAATAATTTTGTTTCATATTTTTTTGTTTATTACATATATTTTAGTAAAGGCATGTCTCTATGTATGTTATGTTGTTGTTATGTGCCATCAAATCTGACCCCTGCTCTATCCTAAGCCAATCTCACTGTCTCTGACACACCTCCCCTCATTATCCGAGTTACTGTGTCAGTCCATCTCATCCGAGGTCTTCCTCTCTTACATTGTCCCTTGACCCTTCCAAGAATGATGTTCTTCTCCAAAGACTGGTCCCTCCTAGCTACATGTGCAAAGTATGCAAGACAGAGCCTCAAAATCGTTGCCTTCAAGGAGCAGCATGGTTTCACCCTCTCCTAGGACAAACCTGTTAGTTCTGACTGTTGTTGGTGTTAGGTGCTGTTGAGTCATATACAACTCATAGCGACCCTATGAATAAAAGATCTGAACCCTGTTCTGTCCTGTGCCATCCAATGACTAGGAGAAAATTTAAGTGCAAACAGGTTCTGTTCTTCCATTTCTGATCAGATAAAAATCATAATTGAGAAAGAATTATTACAAAGAACAAAGAGAAAGTAGTTAAAAGGTAACTTAAACCCTCTTAAGTCTCAGTATATGTTGCCATAACATGGATTAAATATGTTCCATTTTAAAACACTGTTCTCACAAATGTTGACAGAGTTCCAGCTCCATTTAAAAACTTTCCACTATGAGCCTTTGCATTGCATCACTTAGATTTCTGTAATGTACACCTACCCACTGTATGTTGTTGTTAGGAGCCTCTGGCTAGTCAGTGCCAACTCATGGAAATCCTTTGTTCAGTAGAAGAACATATGACCCAATCCTGCACCATCCTCAAAATGGCCAGTGTGTGCACCCATTGCCGTAGTCACTGTCTCAGTCCACCTCGTGGCGAGCCTTCCTCCTTTTCTCCTTTCCCATCTTGTAGAAATCGCTAAAACCAAATTGATATTCCCATGATTATTTTTAAAATGAGAAATCTTGTTCTCTGAAAACAACTTTTGTATTTCAGTTCCTTTTATTTCATTTGTATTATTAGTATGTTGAAGTCATCTTACAAAAATAAAAGCTATTAAATTAAAAGCTTAGTTTTAAAAGTCTGTCTTGTGCCAATGAATTTCCTCATAACTTAAGTACATGCCATCTTTGCAAATAGAAAAAAAAAATGAACTGAACCCCAAAGAGCGAATTTGCAGTGGAAAGTATATTCCGAAGCTGCCAGGATGATGATAGTTTGGCCAGAGAGCAGAGTAAATAATTTTTTTTAAAAATAAGAGTCAGACTTGTAAAGGAGTTCTACCTTCAAAAGGAAAAGAGAAAGAAAAGAAAATGTATGTGACTAAAAAAAAAAAAGCATAAGTCTTTTTTTAATTCCAATATATAACAATATAAATCAATGCAAAAATTTTGTATGAAATAGAACAGCAAATTACCCCCCATCCTCACTCTTCTGCTCCCACCCCTTCCCCCCTTAGTTCTGTATACACCTATTTTTACATTAATAGTCTTATGTAGTATTTGTCCTTATGAAACTGGATTAGTTCATGCCGCATAATGCTCTGCAGTCTCTCCCAAGTTATGTAGCATTTTTTAAAATCGTTACTCCTGAGTGCTGCATAGTAAGAAGTATGTATACCATTCTTTAATATTGGTGGTGGTTGTGTTGTTAAGTGTCGTCAAGTCATAGGTGACTCATAAGGACCCTATGAACAAAAGACATGAACACTTGATTAACTTTTATCATTTCTCCAGGTTCATAGGGTTTCTGGAGGCAAGCTATTTCGGAAGAGGATGCCATTCCTGCTTCCAAGCTTGTTTTAATCAGGAAGCTCCACCAAACACTGTCCACCATGGGTAACCAATTATGCATTTGGCACATCAGTGTCACAGTGTTTAGCATCACAGCAACCATGAGTTACTTCTGTACAGCAAATGGACAGAACAGTGCTATACCACTCAGAAGATTGTTTGACCAAAAACAATTAAAACCAGACCTGAGACTTTCTATTTCAACCTCTTTATTTTCAAATTAAGGGGGGAGGGAGAAGTTAACACTTTCATAGTTTGCAACATCAAAATACTCCCAAAAGTAGCTGTTCCTTGACCAGACAAAGAGGAGCAATTGGCTTATGTGAAAATACTGTAGCTTAATAAAGAGAATAGACACTAGATTTTTTTTTCATGCAAACATTTGAGACAGAAATCTACGAAAATTAAGGGACATTAATTTTAAATATATATTTAAATAACCAAACAGCAAAGTACT